ATACTGAGACTTGGCATGGAATAAAAAATGAGTTTCTGGGCACAGTAGCTCACACCTGTTATCCCAGCGCTTTGGGAGGCCAAGGCCAGCTTGGGCAACACAGCAAGATTCTGTCTCTAAAACAAATTTAAATTAACTGGCCACAGTGGCAGGCACTTGCAGTCCCAGCAACTCGGGAGACTGAGGTAAGAGGATTGCTTGACCCTGGGAGGTGGAGGCTACAGTGAGCCATGATGATACTCCAGCACTCCAGCCTGAGTGACATTGTGAGACCCTTATCTCAAAAAATTAACAACCAAAAAAGTGACTTTCTGTCTTATGGGAACTTAGGTATACTTGGAAAGGAAGAACTTTTTTTTTTTTCCTGAGATGGAGTTTCACTCTTGTCCCCCAGGCTGGAGTGCAGTGGCACGATCTCAGTTCACTGCAACCCCCATCTCCCAGGTTCAAGAGAGTCTCCTGCCTCAGCCTCCCAAGTAGCTGGGATTACAGGCATGCACTACTACGTCCAGATAATTTTTGTATTTTTAATAGAGACAGGGTTTCACCATGTTGGCCAGGCTGGTCTCAAAACTCCTGACCTCAAGTGATCCACCTGCCTCGGCCTCCCAAAGTGCTGGGATTACAGGCGTGAGCCACCGCATCCGGCCAGAAAGGAAGAACTCTTACAAGGACATTACCCAGGCAAGTGTTTTACGGTCAGATAAGTCGCAGAGACCATAGTTGTCAAGATATGTGGGTTTCAGAAGCCCAATTTTGAGTAACTGAAAAGGCAAATTTGATTCACACGAAAGGCCCAGAGCTAGAATGTAGCTTTAAACAAAGGTGAATAGAGATGTTCAAACAGAACTGCATTCTTTCTGGATGGTCCAGTTTATAAACAAATTATTTCTTCCCATTGTTTTTAGGACAGAGCGTCAAGTACATTTTTGTACCACAACACAAAAATGAAGATGTAGCCAGTGCAGTGGCGCATGCCTGTAGTCCCAGCTACTGGGGAGGCTGAGGTGGGAGGATGGCTTGAGCCCAGGAGTTCTAGTCCAGACTGGGCAACATAACAAGACCCCAGCTCCAAAACAAAAGAAAAAGGAAAGAGGAGCATAGCTGAGGTGTTGTCCTTTATAAAATAAAACACGAGGCAAAGCAAGAGGGCAAGATGAGGTAGGATGAGAGGTAGGAAAAAAAAAGTTACAAAAGAGAAAAAGGGGGTCAGACTGGGAGTCTCGGAAGCTCATTTTCGTGTGCTGTTCATGACTTTGCCTCTCCTGATTCTCTCTCTATTTGTCTCTGATTAGATTTCTTAGGTTATTAAAATCAGAGTGAGTAGGTCTGTCAGAAGATTCTTATTATGAACATCATTGTATTGTCTGGGAAGACAAACCCACCTCAATTTCTGAAAAACAGGGAAGGAAAAAAAAAAAAAGGAAAATGGGGCCAGGCACAGTGGCTCATGCCTGTAATCCCACACTTCGGGAGGCTGAGGCAGGAGGACTGGCTTGAGGCCATGAGTTTGAGACCAGACTCGGCAACATAGTGAGACTCTACTACTACCAAAAAAAACATTTTTTTTTTACGTTGCTGGGCATGGTGGCACACACCTGTAGTCCCAGCTAGTTGGGAGGCTGAGACTTGAGCGGAGGAGTTTGAGGCCACAGTGAGCTATGATCATGCCACTGCTCTCCAACCTGGATGACAGAGCAAAACCTTCTTTTAAAAAAAAACCAAAAACTATGTATTTACATACATAGTTCCATGTTAAATTTTATCCAGGATCCTAGACTGATGAAATGCAAGGACTTCTCATATGTGCTGCTTAAGGATTTCATCAGTCATCCTCAATTCTCAATCCTTTGCCTCTTATGAAAAGTTGTTTTCAGCAACATAGTTCAGATCTAAATTCTCATTAACTGGCTTCAAGAAACTAAGCTATTTGCATGGGATTCAAGGGTCATTTCAAACTAGTCTCTACTGAGGCAGGTTTAAACCCTGGCTCTCAGGCCAGGGGAGGTGGCTCACGCCTGTAATCTCAGCACTTTGGGAGGCCAAGGTGGGTGGATCACTTCAGACCAGGAGTTCAAGACCAGCCTGGCCAGCATGGTGAAACCTCGTCTCTACAAAAAAATACAAAAATTAGAAGTGCCAGCTACTTGGGAGGGTGAGTGAGGCGATTGCTTGAGCCCAGGAGGTGGAGGTTGCAGTGAACCCAGATCATACCACTGTGCTCCAGCCTGGGGGATAGAGACTCTGCCTCAAAACAAAACAGAAAAACCCTGGCTCTCCTCTTAGCTCTGTGGTCAAGTCAGGTGGCTCTCTGAGTTGCCACAAAAGTGTCCTTACAAGGTAGACAGGGACAGATCAGCAAGGTTTGTAAACCACATTGCATGGCACATAGTAGGTGTCGGAGAAATGACAGCATTACAAGTGCATTCTCATGTTTCATCTGGAAAGCCACTCTAGTCTCTCACTGCTTCATCAAATAATTTTGTTTTTAAAATGCTGGCATATATGTGATTAGGCTGACTGGGCTTTGCACATACATAGCAATCTAGTTCACTAATTAACGTTACATTTATGCTATCAATTACCAGCAGCTTAACAGATTGTGTGGATATTTCTTCCCTTAGATTTAGATAACTGGAATCAGTCTTCTACCTCAGGCTTTCATGAATCGACCAGGATTTGTCAAGCACCTACCAACTATTCAGCATCAGGGAGAGTGCTATGATAATAAATTCTTATTAGTATCGAAGATTAAACATTAAACTCAAACTTTGGTAACAAGAATGGGGGCATCCTTTCCTGTTAGTAATCCTCAGTTCCTGTGATAGTGAAATAGCCAAGCCCTAATGAACGATCTCTCAACAGAAATCTGATACGTTAGTAATGGTAGATGGCTATCAGTATGTTTTAAAGGTAATTATAAAAATGGTTTATTTCCCTTGTTTTATTAACACAGTCACTAAACTTCAATCTCAGTGTTTAATTTCCCCCAACAGTTTAGCTATTTCCAAGAAAAACAATCATTTGAAGACTGGCATTGCAGATAACAAAACAGTATTACCTGGTACTGGCTTCTCTTTCAGTAGGTAGTTTCAGTGGAAACAGAACCTCAAACCTGGCTACCCCGTTCCCACTTCACATCCATTAAAACACAGCCTTACTTTTTGCATTTCACGATTATCTAATGAACGATTCACTTCACGAAAAGAACAGTGAGCAGAATCCTGGAGAACCACGGGACTCCCCACCACACTGTGCTAAACACATCGTTAGCACAGACACGGGAGACTGTCATGCTTCTCAAATCCCTCTCTTCCACAACACCTGAGGATTACAAAACCAACACTTCTACGTAAAAAAAATTTTTTTAATTAAAAAAAAAATAAGTGTAGTCAGGGCAAGAAAAGGAAAACAGTGTCTTTATTGTGTGTAGTTCTAACAAACATTCACTGTGTGTGCATTCCAGCAGAAAGAGACAAAGATCTCCGTTCAAAATATTCTGAAATAAAATAGGTAAACTAACGCCATTAGTGAATATACAAAAGGAATGTTAATGTTACTTGTTCACAGTCAAAGGTGAAGTTAAAAAAAAAGGGAAGTTAAATAACTGAAGTAATGGTTTGCCCAAATAGCAAACGTAGGATACAAGCGTGGGCAAAGAGCAGCTACTGAAGCTCACGAGGAGGATGCTGGATATAGGGTAGGTAACTTGACAAATGCCTCTGCTTCTTTGGAACCTTCTTCCTAGATCACCCCCACAAATTCCAAACCTGGCTCTTTCAGAGCACAACAGCCAAATGTAACTAAACTCCTCATTACTTCTGTGATATTTGGCAACAGAATGAGATAGTTAAAAAAAGAAAAATCAATTTCTTGTTGAGACAAGACATGTCTGAATCCATTTCTCCTGGGGTAGGAGGAGGTAATGAACATCAACGTTCTGCATCTCAATCTCCTAAAATGGAATTTAACCAGATAGATATTGCTTGAGATTTTAAAGCAGGAGATACCATAAGTAATGATACTTAAGGCCTGTAAAGCATTTTTCATTGTCCCACATTGCAGCTAAATGAGTATAAACTCGACAGTGTTCTGATTTCACAACATATGCATTTATGACAACTGCTAAAAGAACTTTACAGGCTCAAAAGATAGGTTCCAAGGGATTTTTGTTTTTGCTTAAGGAGTCTTGAGATCTAAACACAAGATAAACTTTGACCCCACCACTCTGTTATCTTTACAAATGCAGAAGTCATTTGGAAACCAAAACCAATTGCTGAGTAGGGGCTGGGGAATTTTGGTGTCATTTCAAACTAGTCTCTACTGAGGCAGGTTTAAACCCTGACTCTCAGACCAGGGGCAGTGGTACCAACACCCTCTATTTTGGTGGCATGAAACTTCTCTTACCTCCTCCTTCGTGTCCAGCAGCCATGATGTGTACAGGCCAGTTTGCAGCAGCAGCAGCAGTTAGTCCTCCAAAGGAATAAACAACCAAACACCCCGGAGACCAGCTCCAGGTGGCACTGTCAGCCAATGGGGACTGGCTCCACTTGCTCTCCAGAGGACTTTCACCACCTACCCATGTCAAGACTGTTTCGTGAATTCAAGTCTACTTCCTTAAAAAAAAGTCCTTTTGGATGGATTTGGCTAGTGTGCTATATTACTTTATTGTTTAGAAAAACCTCCGCAAACTCTCACACAAGATTTACCTTTCACCTGGCTGTTTTTGTAGACAACAGAATAATAGTAAATGGACCCCCAACTGGTTTTCCTAATACAAAGTGACATCACATCAGCAGTAGCTCAGAAGCAGCCCTGGGTACTGCAGGGATTTCATGGGTGGAAGAGACAAAGTCTAATTATCTTTTCCTCTGGCTCTCAGTAAAAAACAAGTCCAGATGTAAACAGGAAAAGAAAACCAATGTGAAGTAGAAAAACATACCTTTTGCACTGGCATTTACCTTAAAAATAACAAAAACACCAATTTTACTTAAGATGGTAGTTCTCTAACATTGCTTATAAGCCAGATGTTTTTCATTCAATTTTGGACATTGCCAACACATTTTTACAACTGATTCAAGTTATCTTCAGGCTTGGCTTTAGATTGAATGTTCCATTTCAAGCTCCTCAATACTCCTCTGTTCTTTACTTTTACCCCAATGTACTCCAATAATCACGTAATTTATTTATTACAGGCAATCATATACCAATCCTTCCTTGCCTTTAAATAGAGAAGCATCAAGTTATACCACTGTTGTTAAATAATAACCAAGGTTTTTATCAATATTGTCTTAAAAGTAGCATCTTATAATGCATACGAACATTTTTCTAAAGATAAAAGTTTTACTAAACCCATATCCCTGACATTTTGTAAAACTCAGCCAGAAATCTCCTAAAATTACTCCCAAATATATCCAAGTGTGCAAGTACAAGGTTAATATTATTTTGATGAATTCTGTATTCATTCAACTGCTAAATCACAGGATACAAGACCTGGGTTGAACTTTTTCTTAAATAGTTTGCATGGGCAGTCCCTGGTTTGCTGGGCAGTTTCCTGTCTCATCAAATCCCTGGCAAGCTGGGAGGGAGGGAGGAGATGCTGAGCAGCCTCTATGGTCCTTCTTGAACCAAGCTGCTCCCTGCCGGATATGACAATGGCTCAGAAGCAGACTAGCAATTCTCAAAGGACAGGGAGAAAAATTACCACAGTTGCTGGCAGAAAACAGCCAGTGTACTATTTATTTCCTCAGGTGCTTCTATGGGGGAAAAAAAAAAGTCTAATATGCCAGAGAAATCATCACTGAACCAATAAGACACAGTAACATAATTCTAGTAACCTACTTCTCAATGAACACACATCAGAGAAAAAAACTGCCAGTATTTTATTCTCATGGAAAAACAGAACAAACCCACAAGTTGGAGTCATGGAGGTAAAATACAGAAGAAATGGAAAACGGGCTCTTGTCATGAACTCTCACTTTCAAATACCATTTTCTATGGAAGTTACTTTACTCGGGGCAAACAGAAGGCCATGCTGGAGTCTTTTACTTTTGGAAAATGGAGAATCAAAAATTTGCTAATCAACAAACAAAACAGGAGGGAAAATCCTTGGTAAAGCTCTACAGACATAATTATACATTTATATTTTACCAATAAAAGATAGCTAGGGTAGAAAAAACAGATGGTTAGAAACTGGTGCCAAACCAAAGTGAAAGCTTTGGTGCTTTTTCTAAACTCCTATCCTGAAGTAGTGTTTTTCAATATTTTTCTAAAGAAAGATAACTCTGAATTCATCAGGGTTCTATCACCCCAATTCATCCCTCCCTTTCCAGCCCCAAGACATAAAAGGGCCATGTAGTTTTTTTGTCCAGCACCACTTGGGAAGGGGCTGGGCTCAGGGGGTGGGAAGAGCTACCTGCTGCCCTAGCTTGAAAGGGAGGAAGAGGTGGCCACACCATTCCTTGTAGCTTTATCATGCACATAAAAGGAACAAAACTCATTTGGTAGTTTTAAGTTTAATAGGTGCATACCTTTACTTCAGGAATTAAACCCCTTATGATAAATAACAGAATTAAATCAGATTTTTTTTTTTTAAAACAGGTAAGAGTCTCGCTATGTTGCCCAGGCTGGTCTCAAACTCTTGGCCTCAAACGATCTTCCCACCTTGGCCTCCCAAAGTGCTAGGATTACAGGCCTGAGCCACCGCACCCAGCCCTAAATCAGAAATTTTTTTAAAAATTTACTTAAAAGAAAAATGAAAAAATAAAAGTTTCAACACTAGACTGCCGCCCTGTTATGAATGTCTAATGTGCAATCAAAGTATTGGAAAGCAGGCATTTTTACGAAAGAGCAATGTCACTATAACTTATGAACAGGAAGTTTTGAAATATAAGGGTACTCATGGAAACCAGTGAAGAGAGGAAACACCGGCAATCATTTGACACAGAACAGTGAGCAGGTACTTTGGGAGTAAGGCTCTGAGAGATGGAGGACACTGGTCCCAGATCTGAGGTGGATGTCTGGCCAATCGTCTTGGCTCCAAGGGGGAAGAATGCAACTGGCAGGATTCGAGGAGAGGGCACTTCTGCAGCCCCCAAGCAAGTCTCTAGTTTTCACCCCAAAATGGATGCACTTTCCAACTTCAGCAAGGCCTCCTCAGGAGGATTTGCTTTCCGATGTGTAGTAGCGGTACAGGAAACCTAAGAGAACAGCGCCTATGATGGGTAAAATCCAGTATGACCAGCAACTAGGAGGAGGGGGAGAAAGCAATAAAACTGTTAATATTTTAAGACAAATGTTCACTATCTTTCAGCTTTCACATGTTTTTATATGGGCGAGGAGTTTTTATTTACTTTGGGAAATTTAACTGCTTTTATCACAAAGTAGTTGGGGAAAAAATATTTGGATTGGAGTGACAAAATTACAAAGTAATTTTTTAAAAGGTTAAAAACAACCAATAGTATGATATCAAATAAGATGCCTTTCCATGCTTTTATATGTGTTTCTACAAAGTCATATAGTGGTTATTTCTGAGTTAGGGATTATGGATATTCTCACATTGTCTTCTCTGTGCTTTTGCTTTTCACGTATTCTGCAATTAACATTTTTAAACAGGAAAAAACACCATTATGTAAGTGACATTTCATATATGTATTAAAAAAATCCATCCCAATATAAATTTGGAAGTAATCATATCTAATATAACTACCAGAAATATCCTATCTACTTCATATGTATTTTAAAGATTTAATCCTTACAACACCCTATGAAATAGGGCTATTATTCTCATCTCATACAAGAGAAACATAAGCTTTGCACCCCAAATCCCAAAGCTAGTAAGGGAGTTGGACAGTGTGATTCCAAACCCTTCTTCTTAATCCCTAGTTAAGTTTGACACTAATAAGGATACACATACACAAAAAGTATATACAGTTCTAATAGGGTAAAGCAAATGGTAGCTTCAAAAGTACTGCAAGAGCCTTTCCTTAGGAGCTTCAGAACAGTCATCATTCTCCTTAACATAATAATTCTTTAATAGAACTTATTAGCACACTAGTTTTAAAGTATAATTCTTCCATGATCCAAATGACCCAGCTGCCCCTCTACTTAAAATATATGAGTCTTGGTATTAAAAGGTTTTGAAGTCAATAAAACGAGCTGAAGTTCATAAGAAAAATGATTCTTTGCCTAAACATGCCTAGCACTCTGTATGCTTACGTATGGCAGAAAGCTACGCTGGACTAGTTTGGAATGTTAGCCAGGCAGCTTTGTTTAAAATACCAAGCAATATGGCATGTATAACAGCAATATGCACTGGGAACTCTGAAGTAATCTCCTGATAAGAGTAATGAATTCAGACTCCTTGAAGAGCAACCACAAAAGCCTAAAGAATCCAAAAGTAGGATCCTTAAGAAAACACTGAAGAAGAAAATTTGCCTTTTTTTTTTTTTTGAGATGGAGTCTCGCTCTATCGCCCAGGCTGGAGTGCAATGGCGCGGTCTCAGCTCACTGCAAGCTCCGCCTCCTGGGTTCACGCCATTCTCCTGCCTCAGCCGGTGGATCCGCCCGCCTAGGCCTCCCAAAGTGCTGGGATTACAGGCATGAGCCACCGTGCCTGGCCAGAAAATTTCTTTAGTACAAAAGACTGAGAATGGTTGACACCAATACTCACATAATTTTTCCTAATACTTAACTGCGACTGAGGAGAGAACCAGACGAAACACATTTATACTGCATCATAGGAGATTCAGGTTCAACAATAACTTCCTGTCCTAACACAGACTTTTCTTCTTGGAGATTCATCCAGATTACTACATGTTTGTGATTCATTTATTTTTATTATTTTGTGGTGTTCCATTGTATGAATATACCACAATTTATTAGGGTTGTTTCTGATGTTTGAATAACTCGAATAATGCTGCTGTGAACATTCTTGTACATATTTCTGGGTGTACTTGTGCACACATTTCTATCAAGTATATCATTAGAAATGGAATTGCTGGGTCAAAAGTTAATTCATCCTGTCAAATTTACTAGATAATGCCAACCTGCTTTCCAAACTGATTATACTCATTTACATTACCCTAGGAGTGTTTTTAAGAGTTGGGGGATAAACTTTCCAACCAACTCTTATTTGCAAAATTTTTAATTTTTATCAATCTGGTTAGGTATGAAATACACCTATGATTTTAATTCACATATCACTAATGATGAATGAGATTAAACCTCATTTCCATATGTTTACATTTGTGTTTCCTTTTCTGTAAAGTGTTTAAATCTTTTTCTCATATTCTTTTTTTTTTTTTTTTTGAGATGGAGTCTTGCTCAACGCCCAGGCTGGAGTGCGGTGGCGCGATCTCGGCTCACTGCAAGCTCCGCCTCCTGGGTTCACGCCATTCTCCCGTCTCAGCCTCCCAAGTAGCTGGGACTACAGACGCCCACCACCACGCCCGGCTAATTTTTTGTATTTTTAGCAGAGACGGGGTTTCACCGTGTTACCAGGATGGTCTCGATCTTCTGACCTCGTGATCCACCCGCCTCGGCCTCCCAAAGTACTGGGATTACAGGCATGAGCCACTCTGTGCCCAGCCCTTTTTCTCATATTCTACTGAGGTTTCAAAAAACTGATTTGTAGGGATTCTTTATATCTTCTGCCTGATAATTCTTAATCAGTTTTATGTTTAGCATAAGTCTAAGTTTTATGCATAAGCATAAGGTGCTTTTTTTTTTTTTTTTTTGAGATGGAGTTTCGTTCTTGTTGCCCAGGCTGGAGTGCAATGGCACGATCTTGGCTCACTGCAACCTCTGCCTCCCAGGTTCAAGCAATTCTCCTGCCTCGGCCTCCCAAATAGTTGGGACTATAGGCACGCACCACCATGCCCAGCTAATTTTGTATTTTTAGTAGAGATGGGGTTTCAACATGTTGTCCAGGCTGGTCTCGAACTCCTGACCTCATGATCCACCCGCCTCAGCCTCCCAAAGTGCTGGGATTACAGGCGTGAGCCACTGCACTGCACCCCGCCCTGCATAAGCATAAGTTTTATGTTTAAAATCTGCAATTTTGTGGCTTGTATTTTCAAAATTTTATGCAGCATTTTGTTGACCCTAAGCCCTCAATATTAAGGAAACTAAATTTACTAATAGTTTGTACTTTTTTATACTGTGTCCATTACCTCAAATAATAGATCTGATATTTTATGGGAAAAAAAAAGACATATTTTCTTTCTCTGAAATACCCTGAGATGTCCAAAAGATAGAATGGCTAGCTCTATATAATCTCCACAAATATATTGTACAGGCCAAGGATTCCACAGTCATTTTAGATAGAGGCACTTAAGGGAAGGCAATTTATAACTTTCAGAGCTAATACTAATGAATTACTAATATTAATGCCAAGGAATATATTGTAAGTAAACCTGAGAAAATCCAAATTCCTAAATATGACTGCAGTGTTTTTTTCTTCTGTAAAATGTAATAATAGCATCTATCTTACAGAATGGTTGTGAGAAGTAAATGAGATTAAGTTTTAAGTAGAATAGTGTAGCTGGTTTGAACTGCAGAGACTGAAGGCTGACCCACTAGTAGCTACCTGTCCATGCATACTGGCCTCTTACTGAGTGTGATTCCAATTTGTGTCACAATAAGATTAAAAAATTACTCAAGGCATGAACCTTTTAGATTATTCAAAACGGCTAAAAGTATAAAAGTTAATTTTGCTAATGTCAAGGAACAACTGAATTTGCAGTGATTTGGGCCAAAAAAGAATTAGTTGTCAAGCTGCACTCGTAAGTTATGTTACATACATATACTTACGGAAGAGTCTCTTGCTAGACATTACTTTGAACATAAGGAAATCTGTTAAGGGGATACTAACCTTTTGCATGTATCATGTTTTGAAGGGTCCTGAAAATGACACATATTCAAAAATAACAAACAAAAAGAAACAAGATTAACATAGCACATATACATTTTCTTGAATAGCTACATAAACCCTGTAACTGATACCAGAACTTCACTTTTCATGCATTTTGGTGTTTACAAATATATAAGCAATGGATGGACTGGGAATTTTATTTCTGATAACATACTGGCACTTTGCTAGGTTCCTTCCTACTGAAGAATCACTAATGAAAGCATAGAAATGACCTAAACTTTTTTAGATGTTAAAAAATGTTAATAATACAAACTACATTGAAATGGACTACTTTGTGGTCATGATGATGTGCCTGGTTCAGCTGGGCTTGCCACTGGCAGTAGCTAACATCATACTTTCTAAAAACCTTTTTTAAAGCCCAAAAAGCTCTTCTAACACGTAGATCAACTGTGAAATCCTCTAGATCATATAGATGATTGCTTTGTAGATCACAAAAATATACTGGTTCACTCTTTGAAATCATAATAATTATGAAGGGAGACCTTAGAATTGATTTCACAATGAAAAGAGAAAAAACAGAGTCAAAGGAAAGAAAATGACAAAATAACCTTAAAATATAAATCTTAGCAATAAAAGGTACTGAAGTATTGATATCTGCTACAACCTTCAGAGCATTATACTAAGTGAAAGAAAGCAGACACAAAAGACTACATATTATATAAATCTGCTTTATAAAGTGTTCAGAATAGGACAATCAATAGAGGTAGAAGTAGATCAGTGGTTGCCTCGGGCTGGCATGAGGAGGACGAGTTGTGGGGAAGTGGAAAACGACTGCTAATGAGTATGGGGTTCCTTCTTGGAGTGAGGAAATTGTTCTCAAATAGACTGCACAGCTTTGTAAATACACTAAAAACCATTGACTTGTACAGTTTAAATAGGTGAACTGTATGGTATGTGAATTGTACCACAATAAGGTTGTTATTAAAATTTTTTACTCAATTTAAGTAAGTATCAAATGAGGTACTGATTCCATTAATCAGCTGTATGGTACAAAAGGCCTGCTAACTTACTGCCAGAGGACAATAACACTTTTAGCATAGGTTACTGCTGCCCAAAATATCATCTTTGCAAAATGTAGAAGTACTTCACGGTATGAACATGGAATATTAGCTCTGCTTAACCACCGTTTTCAATAATCTCCAAGAATTTCCAATCACATTGGCCCCGATATACTTTAGAGCAGTCCATGAAATGAGTTTTAATTTCACATATTCAAAACACTGCCATGCAAATGAATACATGCCCCAAACCTGAAAGAAATTAGCCTGTAGACAAGAAAAATGTCAAATGAAAGGTTTTAAAGAAACCATACTAACATACTACTATACTTCTTTAAGATTTTAATGATTATTGTTATCTGGGACATTTCAGCTAGTCTAGTAAGGATCTAATTAATTAAAATGAGTTACAGGTCAGTCTTTGAAAAATACAACAAATGTTACTATCTACTTTACAGATTCAGAAGGTGGGAGTGGTAGCGATGGTAGTGTGTGCATCAAGTTAATTTATAATGTTGCCTTTTAAAATAAATATTCCACCACAGCAGCTGAGAAATAATTGAATTCCATCAAGAAAATGTTCATGGTCTTTTATGCTTTAGCTACATAAATACCAATGATTTATAGACAAAAAATGTAGTTACTATTTTTAAAAGGGGTAATTTGAAAGGCTTATATGAGAGCATCACAGCATAATATATGTATTATGATGCTTAATCTATAATTAGAGTAAAAATCATATACTTCATATAAACAGATTCTCTAGATTTCAAAGCTTTTAGCCTCTTTTACGATCAAAAGCCCTGGATGTCTGCTAAGTAAGGTGAGCCTTAGAAAAAGGTAATAAGCAACTGAAGAAAGAGAACAGAGACAGCCAAAACTGTACTATGCTGAAACGTAAAAATTTCTAAACAATAAATAATTTAAAACATATGGTGTTCTTTGAACTAAGTACTGCAAAATGTGCCTGTTTTAAGATCAATCCATCCCTGGGGCCGAAAAAAAAAAAGACCAAGTTGTCTAACTCATTAAAGGAAAGAGAAGAGAAAGAGGCATATACTCCCTCTAGGATACTGACAGCCAAGTAGATGCAAACCATAGTAACCTCACTTTTAATCAAATACATAACAATCAAAGAGATGTTGAAGGCACAGCTCTTAGCAGCCAAGATGCTCAGTCAAATTTGGAAATAAGCCAAATCGGTTATTTTTAAACTGAAATGAAAAAAAGTTCTATTAACACATAACCTCCCTTCCCTAGGCACGGCTCCCCCCAATCTTCATTTCCACAGTTAAGCACTGGGCTAAATCTAATGGATGCTTAAGGGAAGTTCCTACAGTTTATAGTTGACTTTAATCTATCCCTTCAGGTATTGAGGCATATCTACCCGGTTATGTCCATGCCCAGATTTTAATGCTCTCAACCTTTGGCATGGAAAGTAATAATTGCAATACTATGACTTTAGTTATAAGAGCGAATCAAATCCACAGTTCTTCCAGCATAACCCCTACCAAGCAATTAATATGCGTGCTTCTTTTTCTTCAAAAAGCTTAGAATACACTGGCAAACAACAAAATTGCTGTGACTTTTGGTATTATGGGTTCTAAAAAAAAATTGCTGTTAAGTCTACTCTGACTTTAGCTCAAAACTCATGGAAATTAACTATTTAAATAAAACTGGTTCCTCAAGTTCAAGGTTCATTAAGGCTTTTCTTCCCCACTAAAATAAATAAGTAAGGGCTAGGCACTTGGTTCACACCTGTAATCCCAACACTTCGGGAAGGCTGAGGCAGGAGGATCGCCTGAGCCCAGGAGTTCAAGGTTGTAGTGAGCTAGGATTGTGCCACTGTACTCCAGCCTGGGGGACAGAGCAAAATCCTGTCTCAAAAATAAATAAATAAATAAATAAATAAGTATATTTATATACATATAAACACTAAAGACAGACTTTTTAGGGAAAAAGGAAATATTTTGTAATACCTTAATAGAATTTTTATAAAGCTGCTCATAACTAAAATTATATCTAATATCTTCAAGCCCAATGTTATAAATCAGTTTCCTAATTTGTAAAATGAAAGGCTCAGGTCAAATAAATGTGAATTCTAAAGTCATATTCAATTATCTCAACACAATTTTCTAAGCCAAGGACATTGTGGCAAAACCTAGAGGAGCAGGCTTCTAAAGGATAGAGAGAAGAAAACACCATTCTCTCACGTCTAGGAAGACTGAAGAAGCACTACCACAGGTAGATTTTTCTCTCTTCCACCAGCTACATAAAGGAGTGATTTCCCAGATATTCATCTGAGAGTATCACATCAGTGCACCATAAGCATTGACCCAATTTGCTAAGATTAAGAGAATGACAAAGAGGCCAGGCGTGGTGGCTCACACCTGTGATCCCAGCACTTTGGGAGGCCAACGTGGGCAGATCATGAGGAGAAGAGATTGAGATCGTCCTGGCCAACATGGTGAAACCCCGTCTTTACCAAAAATACAAAAATTAGCTGGGTGTGGCAGCGCATGCCTGTAATCCCAGCTACTCAGGAGGCTGAGGCAGGAGAATTGCTTGAACCCAGGAGGCAGAGGTTGCAGCAAGCCGAGATAGGGCCACTGCACTCCAGCCTGGTGACAGAGTGAGATTCCACTCAAAAAAAAAAAAAAAAAAAAAGAGAGAGAATGGCAAAGAAATGTCACAACTGGCAACTACATGGAAAGGATGTGGGGGTCAATGGGGGTGGATTTCACGATGAACTTTGTTTATGAGAAAACATGACAGAAGAGCACACACTTAAGGAATGGAGTATACTTTGTCATCAGGACAGAAATGTAGGAAAGAATGAACCAGAATCATGATTATGATGCATTAAGACAGACAGGGCAGCCGGGCACAGTGGCTCATGCCTGTAATCCCAGCACTTTGGGAGGTCGAGATAGGCAGATCACGAGGTCAGGAGATTGAGACCATCCTGGCTAACACAGTGAAACCCCATCTCTACTAAAAATACAAAAAAATTAGCTGGGCATGGTGGCAGGGAGGCCGAGGCAGGAGAATAGCTTGAACCCGAGAGGCAGAGGTTGCAGTGAGCCGAGATCATGCCACTGCACTCCAGCCTGGGCAACAGAGCGACACTCCGTCTCAAAAACAAAAAACAAAAAACAAAACAAAACAAAACAAAAAAAACAGGGCATTATACCTTCAACCTATACAGCTTACATTTAGGCTTTCAAAAGCTTAAAAGGAAAATATGAGGTATATATAAAGACCTTATGTTTTAATTCCTACATTGCTATTCCAAGAGGATTCTAAGTAGTTAAAATTGGAAAAAGCAGATTTTAAGCCACAGGACACCTTTGGCAAATTTAATGGGTATTTAGGTGGCCTGGAAGAGATTGTGTAGCTTTGAATTTGGAACACTTTGGTATCTCTGTAGCCAGTAACTTATGAAAAACAAGTTGGGAACTTCTGGCTTCAAATTCTAAACTGGAAAGGATTTTCCCCCCATAATACCATGGACCTTACAGTATGAGCTACCACTATATGAATTTTAACATTAGGTTCATTTTACCACCTAAAATGTTTGAGTATTGAAGGTATATGATTTCAGCATTTTATAGTCCCAACTATGACACAGTCATGTGGTATGGATCTTGAGGACAGCCTTCTCATCAAGCTCCAATATACTAAAATATACAAGTCAATAAGAACCATTTCTTTCTGGATATGAATGTAATTTAACAATTACTGCCTTGCAAAGCATGTAATCCTAGAGTCGAACGGTTATATTAAAAAATTTCCCTGTAGATATGGCAAAATTCAAAGATAGAAAAACAGCTCTAAAACAAATTGCTATAAACTCTCTTAAGAACTCATTGTGATAAAATATGTAACACCTCGCTCAAGAAAAAAAAACTAACACATTCACAGGATGATCTCTATTGGGACTTAAGAAGTGAAAAATTTAACATTGGAGG